GTTGTGAGACGTAAGAAAAGATTTCAGCCACCATCCAGATGAGCAACTTGTTACCTGGCTGCTGCAGTGCTGGGGTAGCGGGGCCAGTGGCATGGAACTAGAGGGCAGGGAGGCAAGGCAGCTGGGATCTCTGTCTAGGAAAGGGGGCATTGACTAAGCCATTGGAAAGGAGACACAAAATCTCAGTCTCTGGAGGTGACTTCTGTCAAGGGTGAGAGAGAGGTATCCCTTCAAGGACGACTTGACATGTCGACCAAATAAGTGGACCACTGGAAAGAGGCATTCAATACTTGAGGGAGCTAGCTGTGCAGGAAGCAGTTTACTATGACCCAGATAATACATGGCTACCCACAGATCCAGATGAAGTCCGATGCACCTGGCCCATGTGGAGGACTTTTGTGCGGAGCACACCCTCATCATTTGCCAGCGCATTAGCACTAATGGACCGGAAAGATGAAGAGGGATCAACCGTGAATGAACTGGCTCGCTGACTATGACAATATGAAGAAAGTGTCTCTTCCCAATCATCGTGGCTCTGAACAAATTATCTCAAGATTTCCAGCGACTTAAAGAGAACATGTCCGACTCCCCACCTGCAGGGACCAGAATCTCGGCTATTAGAGGCAATCATTTCTCTACTTGAGAGAAGCGGTACACACCACGGGGGAAGCTGTGGCATCACCTGCGTGACTATGGAGAAGACATGAAGAAATGGGATGGAAAACCTACCTACCTCCTAGAAAAGCGGGTATGTGAGCTGGAAGGAAGAACAAGTACAAAATGTGGTCCTTTCAGGAGAAATGCTGCTTTGCTCTCCAGTAATCAAGAGCCCAAGCAGAGCAGACAGGTCGACTTTGCTCATGACCCTATGAGAAGAACTTCTGATTTGTATTCACAAGAAGTGAGTGATCAAGATGAGGCTGAAACCCGTGTCCACCACACTAACCCATTTGTCGTTAGTGAGTATTATGACCAACGTTAGAGGGGCCCTGCCTCCAGCCAGGCAGAGGACAGGGACAACCGACTTTACTGGACCATGTGGATTTGATGGCCTGGCACGTCTGGCCCCCAGCAGTATAAGGCTCTAGTGGACACTGGTGCGCAGCGCACCCTAATGCCATCAAATTCTAAAGGAGCAGAACCCGTTTGTAGTTCAGGAGTGACAGCGGGGTCTCAACAGCTGACTGTATTGGAGCCCGAGGTGAGCCTGAGTGTAAAAGAGTGGGAAAAACACCCCATTGTGACTGCCCCAGGCACTCCATGTATTCTTGGCATAGATTATCTCAGGAGAGGGTATTTTAAGGACCCAAAAGGGTATCAGTGGGCTTTTGGTATAGCTGCCTTGGAAACAGAAGGAATTAAACACCTGGCTGTGTTGCCTAGTCTATCAGAGGATCCTTCTGTGGTGGGATTGCTGAGGGTTGAAGAACAACGGGTGCCATCTGCCACTACAACCGTGCACCGACGGCAATACCGCACCAGTGGAGGCTCTGTAATCCCTATCCATAAACTGATTCATCAGGTAGAGAGCCAAGGAGTCATCAGCAGAACGTGCTTCCCTTTTAACAGCCCCATATGGCCAGGGCGAAAGTCCAATGGAGAGTGGAGGTTGACAGCGGACTACCGTGGCCTGAATGAAGTCACACCACTGCTGAGTGCTGCCGTGCCAGACATGTTAGAACTTCAGTATGAACTGGAGTCAAAGGTGGCCAAGTGGTAAGCCATGACTGATATTGCCAATGCATTTTTCTCCATCTCTCTGGCAGCAGAGTGCAGGCCACAGTTTGCTTTGGCTTGGAAGGGTGTCCAATACACCTGGAATTGGCTGCCCCAGGGGTGGAAACACAGCCCCACCATTTGCCATGGAGTGACGACTGCGCTGGGACAGGGTGAAGCCCCAGAACATTTACAATACATTGATGTCATCATTATATGGGATAATACAGCAGAAGAATTTTTTGAGAAAGGGGAGAAAATAATCCAAATCCTTCTGAGAGCCGGTTTTGCCATAAAGCATACTAAAGTCAAGGGACCTACACAAGAGATCCAGTTTTTAGGAGTAAAATGGCAGGATGGACACAGTCAGATTCCAGTGGAGGTGTTTAATAAAATAAGAGCTATGTCCCCACCAACTAACAGAAAAGAAGCGCAAGCTTTCTTGGGTGTTGTGGGTTTCTGGAGAGTGCACGTTCCAATTTACAGTCAGATTGTCAGCCCTCACTATCAAGTGACTCCGAAAAAGAATGATTTTGTATGGGCCCTGCAGCAGCGACAGGCTTTTGAACAAATTAAGTAGGAAATAGTCCATGCAGTAGCCCTCAGGCCAGTTCAGACAGGGCAAGAGGTTAAAAATGTGCTCTACACTGCTGCCGGGAAGAATGGCCCTACCTGCAGTCTCTGGCAGAGAGCACTGGGGGAGACTCTGGGTCAACCCCTGGGGTTTTGGAGCCGGGGATACAGAGCATCAGGAGACTTCTACACTCCAACCGAAAAGGAGATACTGGCAGCATACGAAGGAGTCTGAGCTGCTTCAGAAGTGATTGGGACTGAAGCGCAGCTCCTCCTGGCTCCCTGACTGCCAGTGCTGGGCTGGATGTTCAAAGGGAGGGTCCCCTCTACACACCACACAACTGAGGCCACGTGGAGTAAATTGTTGGAGAATGGCTTGCAGAGAG